AAAACGAACAAAAAAGAACAGCATTTTTATACAAAAGTTGGGCTTCTAGATGTAACCATAAAAAAAAAAAACGCACCTTGAATATCACTTTATGCCCAAGATACAAAGTTACATGAACTGATGTTTAAAACTCAATTGCAAACACTGGCACCAAATTGCAGCTGCCACATTTTTTCCATATGTAGGCGTGTCTATCTTTGCAGGAGATCACACAGTATGCAATGGTTAGGGCTGTCCAGATCACACAAAAATCAGCTGTCCCAAGCAGTCCAGTGGAGGAATATATTAGACAGAAATCTGATGTAAATTATTTCATTTTCTATCTGACAACTAATAAAGAAACAAAAAAATCTGATTTTTATCATCACTATACGGGATTTATGTAGCGCCAAAAGTATGCACATCGCTTTACAAAATATCTGATAACTTGGTCATTGGTGCATAACATGAATTTTTTTCTTTTACTATTTTTAGTCAAGAAGGGCGACTAAACCCTTCAGGAAAAGTGCTGGATGACCTCTTTGATCTACACCTAACACACGAAGATGACAATTGCTGTATTAATAACAGTGTTTATACAAAGTAATATATCTTCACAGAGCGCTAGCATTGTCCAAGCCAACCTGAGATCTTATAAATGTGAGCTTACACTGCCCCACTGTGTAGAAAGACAATGCTGAGCACCGCTGCAAGGTTACATGAGGATACAGATCTTGTTCCACTGAGAACAGGGTAGAATAGTACATGAATGAGATTAGCTGAATATTGAGACCCAGTGACGTGGTCGTTTCCACACAGCTTCAGTTTGGCAAGTTCTTGACTATAGATTAGCAGTTTGTACTGTGAGCAGACCTAGCATTACAAGCACCCGAAGCTAATAAAAATATATCAACATAAAATGTATTATCTGAGAAGACTATGAATCAAAGGGAAGTGAAGGAGGAGCAATACACAGCTTAAAGTGAACCTGTATTTTATCCATGTAGGATAACGCAACAGGTTACATTTAAATCTGGCCCTGTTGCATGTTGTGCTCACCTTCCAGAAAACGTGGTTCTAAAACTGCACTCCTTACAGCCAAATAGATAAAGATAGTCTCAAGAGGTTCCCCCTTTTCTATCACTAACATATATAAAACTAATACCTATATTATCATTTATTCGTATTAATATCTTGCCTTATAGATTTTCTCGTGTCTTAATGGACAATAACAAATGGAAAGCTACCTAGGTTCCCACAGAATTCTGGGATGTCATAGAAAGTGGGAACCCTGGTAGCTCTTTATTTATAGTGCTCCTAGTGACGGTCACATGCAGAAGTGAAATCACCAGCACGCCAAAGTAGTGAGAATAATCAGCTCAGAGTTAGTCACATGGCATCACATGCATATATAAAACCAATGTTTTGGGGCCCTGCATAGTGCCTTCTTCAGGATATCATTGTGACAATGTGCAAACAAACTGGCCACTTCTAAATACAGCATCTCCCTATAATGTGCACAAAGTAAAACAATACCCATAAGACATCAAAGCTACGTGGGCGTGTTCAACATATCCCCACATGTGTAAGAGCTGGAGATGAAGGATCAACATGATGAACATGTAAAAGATATGGAAGTGACACATGATGCGTAAATAATGGTACAATATGCAGATGTGCATGGGAAAAGTGCATATAAATGCCTGCAATTTTATGCAAATAAATTTGAGCTGATTCTTCGATACATTGAAGTGATGGTAAATACTCACCTTTCATCTGCTCCCCTGCCATCCTTTTTCCATGGGCAGCACATATACAGTAAAT